TTTCTCTCTCTTTCTCTCTCTCTCTCCCTCCTTCCCTCCCTCCCTCCCTTTCTCTCTCTCTCTCTCTCTCTCTCTCTCTCTCTCTCCCTCGTGTGTGTGTGTGTGTGTGTGTGTGTTCCAGATCTAAAGGTCTAAGTGCAGTGAAGCTGTCTTAGGTATCTGCTGGTGAGGTGTTATGCTGAATATGTGTGTTTCCTAAATAAAGACAGTGTTGAGGGTTATGACTGTACAGGTATATGTGCTGTTCTGACACATAAAGAGAATCAAGATAGGGCATCAGGGATAGTGTAGGACCACTAGCAGTCCCTGGAAGAAATGGAAAGTCACAGAGATGACACCCCAAAAGCACAAGGGACCTTAAAGCAGGTCGTCCAGGAGGACCATGGCAGACACCTTGATGTTCTGTGACTCTGTTAGATCCAACTCCATCTTTCTCACCACCTCCCACTAGAGACTATAAATATAGATTCTCACTCTTTCGGCCTTCTCTGCAGGCTTGGGTGATCATGTGACCAGGTATGGCCAATGAAATTGAAGTAGAAGTCTCAGGAGCTACTAGAAAATCCCATGCTTTGCTGAGAGCCTCCCTCTGCCTCACCCTTATTCCTGCTTGACTAGGAATGTAATACCTGGAACATTAGCAATCATGTTTCACCTGAGGAAAAGGCCAAGAGATCCATAGACCTTGTGATCATTTGACCAAGCAAGTGCCAACAGCTCTCCATGTCCAAACTCCTTGTAAATAAAAATAAACTCCTGTTTCATTAAGCCACTGTAAGTCTGTTACTCACATTTCCTAACTGAAATGAGAGTTAGGGGTTTTATTGCTGTGAAGAGATAACACAACCAAGGCAACTCTTATAAAGAAAACAAATGTTTTTTTTTTCTTAAATGTTTTTTAAGTTACGGTGGCAGCTTACAGTTTCAGAGGTCAGAGGTTCAGTCCATTATCACCATGATGGGGAGCATGGCAGCATGCAGGCAGACGTGGTGCTGGAGTAGTAGCAGAGAGTCCTACATCTTACAGGCAACAGAAAGTCAATTGAGACACTGGGCAGTATCCTGAGCATAGGAAACCTCAAAGCCCACCCCCATAGTGACATACTTCCTCCAACAAGGCCATACTCACTCCAAGAAAGCAACACCTCCTAAATAGTGCCACTCCCTATGAGATTATGGGGGCCAACTACATTCAAATTACCACAGTCCACTCCCTGGCCCCCATAAGCTTGTAATAATATAATGCAAAATGCATTTAGTCCAACTTCAAAGGTCTCCATAGTCTATCACAATCTCAACAATATTTAAAATTCCAAAGTTCAAAGTCTCTTCTAAAATTCATGCAATCTCTTTACTGTAATCCCCTGTAAAATCAAAATCAAAAAGCAGATCACATACTTCCTACATATAATGGCACAGGATATACATTACCATTCCAAAATGTAGGGAAGGGAGCATAGCAAGGAAAAACTGGACCAAAGCAAGACCAAAAACCAGCTGGTCAAACTCTAAACTCTTCATCTCATGTCTGATGTCTAAGTGCTCTTCAGATCTCCAACTCCTTTCAGCTTTGTTAACTTCAACACACTTCTTTCTTCAGCTGGTTCCACTCTCTGTTAGCAGCTTTCCTCAGCAAGTATTCCACGACTCTGGCATCTTTAACATCTTGGGTTCTCCAAGGCAATCCAGGCTTCAACTTCACAGCTTCATGCAATGGCCTCTCTACTAGGCCTCCATTCAGGGACACTCTTGACACATGCCTGGTCTCAGTAGCTGTCCTTAGGCATAGAGGCAAATTCCATAATACATTTCTTTTATCCTTAACTCTAAAGCCAGAACCACATGGCTGAAGCTGCCAAGTTCTATTACTTACTGGGATTGGAACATGGCCCCTTCATTCAATTACATCTTCACCAGCTTTCTATCCTTCACTACCTAAGCTTGGCCATCCTGAAACTGGATTTCTAGACCAGGCTTCCCTCAAACTCAGAAATCTTCTAGCCTCTGCCTTCCCAGTGCTGGGATTAAAAGTGTGCCCACCACACCCAGCTCTAAGCTTTTCTTTAGTTTCTTTCTACAAGTTGGAAATTTGGCTAGGTGGGATCTTGCCCTGAGATCACCACTCCCTTTATTCCTTAATTTGTTTATCTCCTTGAACACAGCACTTAAAGCCATTCCTTTTCTCCTCAAATTTTACATTTTATTGCTCCTTTTCATTATAAATTTCCATTAGAGTTACTACTAATAACCATATGACAGATTCTATACTAGGCTCTTTTGAGATTTCTTCTGCCAATAGAATTAATCCAAAACTCTTCACTTTAGCCTCAGGCAGACTCTTTGGACAAGGGCAAAAAGTAGCCACTTTCTTCACCAAAGTATCTCTAGTCCACATACTAACATTCTTCTCCTCTGAAACCTTTTGATCCCCACAGTTTACCAAATCACATTCAGCACCACTGTCTTCCATGCTCCTACTAGTATGGTCCATTAAGTAGTGCTTAAAGCATTCCACTGCTTTCCTAACCCAAACTCCCAAAGTCCATATTACTCCAAACAAAAATATGGTCAGGCCTATCACAACAATACCCCAGTACCTGGGACCAACTTCTGTCTTAGGGTTTTTATTGCTGTGAAGAGACACCATGATCCTGGCAACTCTTATAAAGAAAACATTTAATCTGGGGTGACTCACAGTTTCAGAGGTCAGAGGTTCAGTCCATTATCACGATGGGGAGCATGGCTGCATGCATCCAGATGATGTGCTGGGGTAGCTGAGAATCCTACATCTTTAAGGCAACAGGAAGTCAACTGAGATACTGGCCAGTGTCTTGAGCATAGGAAACCTCAAAGCCCACCCCTACAGTGACATACTTCCTCCAATGAGGCCATACACACTCCAAGAAAGCCACACCTCCTAATAGTGCCATTCCCTATGAGATTATGGGGGGCGGGGGCAATTACACCCAAACTACCACAGACACAAAAGGCTAGCCTTGGTCTGTTTGAAATCCCTTTAAGCAAGGCTAACAACTTAATTCCCTCTTTTCCAACAGAAGGCTGCTGGGATTGGGTCCACTGCAGGGCCTGC